GTTATCCTGCAAGGGTTCTCATAAATGAAAGCAGAAGGCAGGAGAGGGAAGCCAAAGAAGGAAAACCACCAACCACAGTTGCCTCTGAAGATGGGGAAAGGCACCATGAGCCAATGAAAGCAGGCAGCCCCTTGACAGAGCCTGGGGAAGGGAAAGGGAGTCTCCTAGAAAGTGCAGAAGAAAAGCCCTGATTTTTAGCCCTGTGCATACCTTCTGTGGATTTCTAACCTCTAACTATATAATAATATTTTTTTCAGAAGTTGCTAAGCATATAGTAATAAATATTCATTTTAAAATTAGTTTGCTATTTATCTTAGGGTTTTTAATTATCGTTTAATAAATTATACCAGAAAACAGCCTAAGATTAGGTACTGTTAACTTTAGTTCACAGGCTCAAATGCCATCTGGGATCTGAACTTCACCAATGTCATACTCTGGGTAGTCACACACTGAGTAAAATGCAGGCCAGGACATGTGATTAAGAAATACGTGACCTAGAAATGCGGCCAATACACTCAAATCCCTTTACATGAATTTGCTCTATCTTAAGTTTTTCCAGGGCAATGAGAAGTGTGTAACAAAATAAGAATTGTGGCTGGATAGTTCATTTTGGTTTAAAAAATTATAGCAATCTTTTTCATGTTTAAATAACATCTACTAAATCCTGTAAGCAATTATATTTCCTACTATTTTCCACTAAATCCTAAAAGGTAGGCATTATGTTTGCTATCCTTGATAAATTCTTTATAAAAGAGGCCAAAATAAATGCTAGAAAATGAGATGTACCTTCACTCCCCCCCCCAAAAAAAAAATTAAGGAAAAACATCACAGCTTCAACAGACATAGCAGATTCTCCATCAATAGAGATTTTGTCTATTTTTTGTCAAAGAATATGACTATGAAAAACTATTACATATGGAAAATAAAATACTAAACCAAATTGCTTGCTTTTATATTTATTTTGTTTCTATTTGCTTTTAAATACCATGCGTTAACTTTGGTCATCATACATGTTCTTCTATTCCCTTTTTCTTTCTTTCTTTACTTTTCTTTTTTTTTTTTTTAACACTGTTTGAGTAGTTATTTATTCCGATAAATACTGAAAATGGCAGAGTATGTGGTTTATATTCCAGAAAGCAGAAAGATAATTTTACATCATTTAGAGCACATTTTACACATGACAAAGTAGAAGCGTTGCTAAGAACACAAAGATGAAGATTCTGCTGCTAAAGTGCTCACAGTAATAGTGAAACAAGCAGGGCCTAAGTCTCAACCGCTAGGAACCAAGACCAAAATAGCTTTAACATATGTTAACTGCTCCTGCTTGGAGGAGAGCACCCTGAGGAAAACAGTGTAAGACTCAGGAAAGCCAGGTCTAAAAGAAAGTTTTTGATCAAGCTAGTATTATGATACCAGAAGAACAGGCTAAAAGGAAAGACTAGAAGCAGGAGAGCCTACTGGAATTAGGCTGTCAGAAGGAGAGAACCTGAACTATGAATTTGAGAATGAAAAACAGAAGATGCAGAAAAACCTCGAATCTCAGCACAAAATTTTATACCACCTGTGGCTTCTATCAAAAGTATCTACTAATTCAAGGTAAACCAGGCAGAGAGAAGCACACAACCCATGTTTAAATACCAGATCCATTTGTTCAAGGAAATAGGTTTGCGCTACTTAAGATCCTCAGCCAATTGGAAGGAAAAAGCTAAAGCAATGAAATAAGTCCTGCAATGCCATAATTTCTCAACTAGGGAAGTCACAGGGCAAGTTCAAAGAGAGTGAAAAGATTAATGACGTAGCATCCCAAATAGCTGGTTTGTGGTAGCAATGGAAAAATATGCAGGAAACAGAAGAGCTGCAACTTCTCTTTTATTTTTGCCCAACCCTGGGATATTAACTAAGCTAGAGAAGAAGATGAAGGTATAGATTTTTGTTTGCTGGTCTGGGTGTGGAGATATATAGAGTCAAGAAAAGGACTAGTATAATGAAGTACACACATTTGAAGTGATATTGTGATTTAGGAATAAGCTAATTCATGAAAACTGTAATTTTATAAAATCAGTAGTACACCATAGTCTTACTGAAAAGCATTTGAAGATTAATGATACTGACCTTAAAAAGATGATAAGTTACATCCTCAAAGATACAACAATAAAAATATTTTCCTTTGCTAACAAGTAACCATATATAATGGAAAGAAACTTTTCTTTTTATTTCTTTCATTAATTTTTCTCTGTTTAGGATTATAACACTGTAAAACCTGAAAATTAGACCTGAAAGCCTTAAATCACCCAAACCATGACCTAATTTCCTTTAGGTCAATGATTAGACAAGGTCCTCTATTTTTCAAGCCCTAATTTACTGCGCTTAATTAGGATAGTGAAATGCCTCTGATATAAATTATATATATTAGACATCCCAGCACCAAATCTTTACTAATAATGTGCAAATCTTATTCTTTAATCTTTCAGTCCCAATATCTAAAGACCATATATTCTCTAGCAAAAAATACAACATAATGAACTATTAATATACCATGTTAAAGGTACTCTGACATTGTTATAGATTACCTAGAATCCATTTTACATTTCTAGTTGATTCAATTGCTATGTTTTAAATGGAATGATTCCATTGAGCTGCTTACACATAGCCTTTAAACATCCAAAAATGAACCAAAGGTCGCAATTCACTCCTAAAGTCAAATTAGGGGGGAAAATGTTTTCAAGCCTTCCAAGAATTAAGATTTATGAAATAAGTAAGCCAGCATTCTGTTTATAGGGTGTTGGAAGTCTGGGCAAAGGGTAGAGTGGAGTGGGGTAAGACAGATGAGAGTGTTAGACCAACAAGAAAGGGAAGTAACTGCATTCCTATAGAAAGAAGAGATGTAGGGAAATGCAAAAGCCCAAGCTAGATTAGACAAATGAAGGAAATCAGTTACCTAATTAAAAAAAAATCTTTTTGAAATCTTTCTAATGTCACTGGTAAGAAGAAATAAAAATTCTATAATTTCTTCTGAAAATCAGGACTCTCCTTCAATTTCCTCATAAATCACCATAGATGACTGTAGCAATTCAGCTTTAGGGTCTACACTGTATTAAACTATATATGTTAATCTAGAAAGGTAGTTCTCAATGAAGGTTACATTTTTCCCCAGGAGACATATGACAACATTTTTAAGGGTCACAGTATGGTATGGGGGGCAGCTGTTGGCATCTAATGGGTGGTGGCTAATGATGCTGTTAAACATCCTTACAGTGCACAAGATAACCTGACCACAAAGAATTGTCAAATTCAAAATGCCAACAGTACTAGGTTAAGAAACACTGATCTCTCCTGAATACTGTTCAAGCAACAACCTACTTCTTGGACCTTTATCCTAGCCCATGTCTAACAGTCAATTAAAGGACTAAACCACCGCCACCCAAAGACCCATTTTTCAATTGGTTTAAACATGATGGATGGTTGGTTCCAACTAAAAGTCACACAGAAATAAATAGATATAATGTATCAGAGCAGAAAAGCAGAAAAAGAACTTTTAAATCCTTTCATTTCATTTCTGTCTAGAACGATTCACTTTACAAGAGGAGCATTTACATGGTTCCATTATCAAGCTGTGTCTTCTATAGCCAATACTCTGAAAATTCACTGGCATCGTCAAAATACAATATATCTTATTAATTAAAAACTTAGGTTAACAGTATTTACAAAGAAAGATTTATGCTGGAGGCTGCGGAGGGTGAAAAAGCCACCAGGTCTTTAAAATGCAAAGTTATTTCACAGTTTGCTTGCAAAATGACTCAGATCATTATTACTTTTAGTCATGCCAAGTTTGCTTCTAAGCCTACTAGTAATGGAGAAAGAAAAAAAAAAGCCCACCATTTTTTCCTGCAGTCATTAAACCAATAAAACTGGAGCTTACTGAAAACGGATTTAGGCAATAATATTTCTCTTTTATTATAACTTATATAAAAAAATACAAGCTGAAAGTGCAAATGAAGATTTTAAGAAGTCTTTCATCTATCTAATACTTCGAGTGTGGGAAGAAACCAAACAAAAGGAACCCCTAACTCAGAGATTTAAAGATCTTAAACTGTGAATATTATCACAATGTTTCCCTCAGTCAAGTGTCCCTGGGTTACTCTTATTATTCTCTTCCCCTTCAAACAATTGGAAAAAGATCTCCACGTCGCACTTCAGCAAGAGAACAGGGCTAAGAACAAATCAAAGCCTGGCGTGCACCTGGCAAACCTCATTCATCAGAAACCATGGCAGTAGAGAAAATCCTGTTGTTCCGGTGACCCCTCTGCACCTTTCACAGCGGTTCCACCACTGAAGTATCTTCCTTACCTACTACTGGAGCAAACGCAACCCAACTTTGGTGGTTTCCCTACCCCCACAGTGATAAAAATCAAATATCCAGCATAGCTTATTTCCTTACGCAGGGTAAACATAATCGGTGCTTTTTAACACTCACTGAGTCGCCATGGGAAGTTGACAGTAAAGACACATTTCAACCCTACAGAGGCCCCAGGAAAGGTGCACTGACTTCACCAAAAGCGGCACTCCTGGTGTGAGAAAAACCACCAACGAGAAACCACCCTCTGGATGAAAGGTTTTCCGGGAAAGGGGGGGTGGAGGTGTCTTTTATTTTCTTGACATGAATACCCCTTCACATTTGTAAGGCTCAGCTAAACTTCAAAGAAAAGGGTTTACACGGGATCTGCCGCCTCAAAATGCAGCTGGGCTTCCAGTGGGGTCACTAAAGCACCGAGCACACAGCAATGCCTGCCCTACCGCGGGGAGATCTCAGAGCCTGGCAGGAGGGCGGAAGGGGACCTAGGAGGGGACCCGCCTCGGTTCCGCACCGCAAGGGCCACATTCGCACTCCGAACCAACCTCGGGCGCTGCCAGACGCGGAGGGGCCCACAGCGGCCCCCCCCCGCGCCCAGCCCACTCGCTCATTCGCCCGCCCCGGCACCTAGCCCTTCGGCCAGCCTCACCGAGCAGCAGCAGCTTGACCTCGCGCGCCGCCTTCTCGCCATCCTCGCGGAGGTTCCGGTCGATCATCTTACTCCGCTCCACCGCCGCCTTGTCCTCGGCGCTCAGCGTACAGCCCATGGTGCCTAGAGCGAGAGCCTGCCGCCGCTCCCTCCGCGCCCGGTTGCTGCCTCGGAACACAGGTGAAAGCTCTCTTTCCAATACCTCCCAACGCCGGCCACACCACCCCCACTACGTCCTAAACGGAGTCCAGAGAAACGCTTTCCGCAAACGAGCAAACAGCCCTGGGCGCCTGGTTCCCCGGCTCGGCTCCGCTTTTGGCGCCGCTCAGCGCCGGGAGACCCAGGTTTGAAGGCTCTGGCTTCAGAGGCTACCGCCCTCCAGCCGGTGGCCGAGCCGCAGCCTCGCAAAGCTCAGGCGAGCTCCGCGTCCGCGCGCCGCCGCGGCCCCGCCCCTGCCCGCCTCTCCCGCCACCCCGCGACCACTCCCAGAGCGCGCTCCCGCGCACGTGCCCTCGGACAGCGCCCCCTCCGAAGGGCCGCGCGCCCGCGTGGCCGCCGACCACGGGGCCGCGCACCCCGCGAGGGCCCCGCGCCCCCGCGCGCCCCCTGGAAGTGCCAGAGAGCGAGGAATTGCCCTAGGGGCTGTGGCCTCAGGCCCTAGGCGCTCCCTAACCCTGCGCCCGCGGCGGGAATGGGGTAATTTCTCCAGGTTTACTGATACCAAGGAATGTGTGCGTACCTGTCCCTCTACCGATGGGGATGGGAGAGATGCCAAAGTTGGAAGCCCAGAAAAGCCTGTCCTGGGCGTTTGAGCAAGCCCAGCGCCCGCAAACAAACAAGGGTTTTAAAATGTAAAACGGTGTCGGCCGGCGTTCAGGGCGGCGGGAAAGACTGGGAGCTGCAAATGGAGCCGCGGTGGGACCAGAGGTGGGGACAGTGGGAAACAGAAGTCAGGAGATGTGGTGGTAGTGGGCACCAAGGTCAACTTCCTTCCATTTTTCTTTCTTTCCCTTTTTCCTTCCTTTGTCGCCTTCCTTTTCATAAACAGATTGTAATTTTAAGGATTTCTTCATAACCTTAGAAAATGTGAGACCAAAAATCAAAGAGTATATTTAAAAATGACAAGAGCAATAAAACACACCCACACAAACAAGTCTGCTCCACAGCGGTAGCAGATCTCCTCTAGGGCACATGTAAGCTCCCATGCCAAGTTTTGAACCAGTATTTATGACCATGTTCCTAACTCCTGTGCCAATGGGCATGCCATTCTTTTTTGGAAGCAATGGCTTCCTTGCACATAAAATGAGGAGTTGTGCGACATTGTTTCCTCCTTCCAACTCCGGCAGGCAGGGATGATGCATTCATCCACCCAACACCAAATGGATGAGGATAGATTTACCGTCTCATTTCTCAATGCCTGTTGTTCTAAGGTTTTCCTTACAAACACCGCAGGAAAAATACGTTGACTGATGGAAAGATGAAACTAGTGTCAAAGAAAGATGTCTCCCTTGATGTATTAAATTTTTTTTTATTGCTTTTAGGTTTCCATTCAGAAGTCTTATTTTCTAAAAATCATTTGAGAAAACCGGGCTTGAGTTTTTTCTAAGAAATTGAGATTGAATTGATGGCACGGGTAGAGGGCAGAATACCTTTAGGTTGGGTCATTCAGACCAGGCCTGTAAGCTAGTTCTGCTCTACACCCCACTGGCCATGCTTGTGCTCCAAACCATCAGAGCGAGTTGAATTGTCAATTCCTTCTATATGGGACCTGCCCTTTCCTGTTTTCCCCGAAGTCAGACCTGCGATATGATTTCAAAACCTGCCTAAATTTTCCTATGGCCTTTTGTAATATAACAACAAAAAGGAGCAATCTTCAATGGTACCTAATCACCTTCTACCCTCATTATAATTCCTGGCACATTACATGTCCATCAGGAACTCTGAAATTAAATTTAATGAAATCAACTTTCAACACAGTATTTTCGTATTAGTCATTTGGGCTGATCTGTTACTGTCTTTCCTATAAGCTTCAGGCCAGATGGAGTGTAGGATCAACAGTTTTAGCCAAAGAGGAATCAATTATGACTGAGTACTGGTAGAAACCACTACAGAACTTGTGTTTTGGAGAAATGAAGTTGTAATGAAATTATACACATTATCTCTATCAATTTGAAAAGCTTGTCAAGTAGTTGAGTAGCTTATATGTAGTACATAGACAATTAAGAACTGCAAATTAATCTTATGTGAAACAAAACTTCTAAGAGGAATCAAAGTAATAAAATAATCAGTATGGAAGGAAATTCCAGGAGAAAAATGTTTGAAAAAGAAATATTGAAGGAAGTGATAACAGGATATTAGAGGTGAGTTTGAAGGAGAATATATTAGTCAATACCATCTGCCAAAACAAAATACCATAGACTGGATGGGAATAATGTCTCGTGTTTCTGGAGGCCAGTAAGCCAAAGATTAAGGTGTCAACTGATTGAGATCTCTTGTGAAACCCCTCTTCCTGGCTTGCAGATGACTGCCTTCTTTCTGTGTCCTCACATGGTGGAAAGGAAGAAGTTGGGGAGGTGTGAGAGAGAGGGAAAGAAGGGAAAGGGAGAGAAAAGCCATGTTTGCTCTCTATTCCTTTACTTATAGGGTCACTAATCTTGTCATAGATGCTCCACTATCAGGACCACTAAACTAAATCACCTATCCAAGGTTCTCCCTCCAACTACTATCACATTGGGGTTTAGGACTTCAACATATGAATCTGGGGGAGACATACACATTCAGTCCAGAATAGTGAATTTTTGTTTCAGAGGAATGACAAAGTACACAAAAAAATAGTGATTATTTAACAATTTAAAGGTAGTTTGGCTATGATGAATGATAAGATATATGGGGCAATATTGAAAGAGAGCTTTACATCTTAAGGTGAAGAGTTGGACTTGACACAGTGAATACTAAGTGTCCCATACATTCTCCTGAGTTGGGTAATAAATGTTTAAGAAAAAATAAAAACCCTCTTACCATATGTGTAAAACAAATGAGTTACCAACAAGTGCATGGTATTAGTAATCCAAACATGGGGTGGTAAGAGAGTCATTCAGACTAATAACTTACATAGTTATGAGGTTGTGAAATATGATTCAACAACCTTTTCAAGGAGGTGGAGCAGACATTAATAACTCATCTATTTTATAGAGAGTGAAAGAGAGAAATTTAAATTGCAGAGGTTAAAGCATTCTACTTCAGAATAGTGTTTTCCCTTCTGAACATCATAACCTCTTTATTGAAACATAAATCACATACCATAGAACTTACCCATTTAAAGCATACAGTTCAATGGCTTTAGTATATTCACAGTTGTGGAGCCACTACCAAATTGTAGAACATTTTCATCACCCCCAAATGAATCCCTGCATCCATCCCCATCATTCCCCATCCTTCCATTCTGCTAGTCCTAGACACTACCAATTTAAATTCTGCCTCTGTATTTGCATATTCTAGACATTTTATATAAAAGGGATAATATGGATGTAGTCTTTTGTAATTGACTTTTTTCACTCAACATAAAATGTTTAAGGTTTATTCATGTTGAGCAGGTCTCATTACTTCATTTCTTTTTATTGCTGAATAATACTGAGCATCATATGTTAAGAGAGTTAGACATATGTTAAGAGACAAATTGGAACACGTTCAGCTGAAAGCATCAGGCTTTAAGTAACTCAAACTGTGTCATAAGGAATAATTGGAGAAACTGGGGATATTTATTGAAGGAACAAGAAGATACAAGTGATTTGACAGTTATTTCCAAATGACTGAAGAGATGTCACAAGTCAGAGGAAAGACACTTTCTGTCCTGCTTCAAGGTCATACATAGACTTAGAAGTACTAAAGGAAAGTTATGACAAGCAAAATTTTATCTTGATGTGAGGAAAAATGTTACACAATTTCTAGGCAGTGATACCAACCAATAGACTAGTGTATGTGCCCATGTGAAATAGGCAATCTCAAAAACATTTGACTGAGATGTAAAACTCTCATATTGGACACAATCTAGAGCTGGGTGAACTCTTAGGATGACTCCCAACTATGAGATTCTGTATTATTCAGACATCAAAAGAGACTGGTGTCAGAGGCTGAGATTGTACTACTTGTAAACTCCTCTGGCCTCAAGTGTTTTCCCTACTCATACTATCCTCAGATAAACACGCAGAAGTGGGAAAGGATAGTTTGAGATATCTTGGTTTGATCTTTTGATGGATTAGCATGAGAATAAAGAGGAACATTGGAAAGAGGATATGACCTGGTAGGTGGAGGGGAGGCAAGATCAGAAGGGCATTGCATATCTTTGGCTAGTTAAGCTGCTAACCAATGTAGTATGTTCATACCTCTTCATTACTGCATTGACATTTTTTGCTTTCTAAAGGAGAAAAATGTTTTGGCACAAGCTAGGCATATTTAGAAAGATAGAGGGAGCATCATGGCATCTATAACCTTCTGTAGAATGATATAAGGCCCCAAACTCAAAGCATTTTCATTAGAGATATTATGAGATTCTAGGCAAAGCTTGAAAAGCCAAAACCCATGGAGGGACTTGCAAAACAAACAGCATTCTTTGAGTACTCAGGTTATATATCACATTGGCAGAGAAATCATGTGTAGCCATTGACCCTGCATGTAACATATAACCACTCAGGCATCCAAGCATTGATGAACTGAAGGAAAACATCTAAAGACAACACTGAGTATGGACATTTGCATTCTGCTGATGGACCCTACACCATCAGCAATACTCAAGTCTCCCTCAAGTAGCTTCATAGACAGTGGCTACCACTAAAAAGAACTGTAAAAGAGGGGGAAATGGAAAATACTAGGCAGTGACACCAACCAATAGACTAGTTCATGAGCACTTGTAAACATGATACCACATTGGAGGACTCAGAAATATCTAGGGAATAGGCTGGAGAGATTTAATTTTCTACTGAAGCAGATAAGTCTTGAAGTCACTGTTGATGGGGCCAGGAGGCAGAGAGGGCAACACGGCCTCATAAGTAAAGGTGGGAGAAGTTTAAAAAAAAATGTCGTTTTCAATGCATCAAGAGAAGATCACTATGAACAAACATAAAGAAAAGGAAATGGTGGTTGTGGTATAGGGAAGAAACTCTAGACCAGAAATCAGGTACGCTTATAGCAATTCAGAATTCTGTCTTTAACTCTGTATCTGTCTTTTGAAGTCCTTTAACCTCTAATTGCTATATTCCTATCTATAAACATGAATGTATTGAATTAGATCATCAAAACAAAGTTCCAATAATTCTGAATTTGTATGAGGTTGTCATATCAACCAGACAAGATGGTTGGCAAATATACTGAAACATTTGTATGAATAGAGAAGCCTTCCCATA